CTCGCGAGGAACGTCAGGTAGCGGTCCATGTGAGTGCATCACGGTCTCGAGGGGCATCACGTCAAATTTATTGCCGCCGTGACACAAACCTTCTATAAGAATACGTCACGTCCATCGACGATTAAGCGACCAAAAACGCCCGGACAGCAATTGATGCATGCCAAAAACTCGTCAACCTGCCGTAGGATTGTCTATGCGGAAGTGATCTCAATGAAAATAAAAAAAACAAGGACACGCACCAGCACGGGACGCGCCAATAGTGGAAGCACTCGTCCGTGCTGTTGGCGAGTGGAAGTTAACCGATCTCAACGCAACGAAACACGAAGTCATACATGTATCAGCACGGGATGCGCCAATGAGTGGAAGCACCCGCGCTGTTGGCGAGTAGAGTTAACCGAATTCAACGCAGCGGTAGAAAAATACCACAAATCATGCATCAGTACGGGACGCGCCAATGAGTGGAAGCACCCGTGCTGCATATGTGATGTCAGCCTCAGCACGGGACGCGCCAATGAGTGGAAGCACTCGTGCGGTTGGTGAGTAGAGTTAACCGATCTCAAAAAGAAAGAACAAAACGCCGTTCATGTATCAGCACGGGACGCGCCAATGAGTGGAAGCACCCGTGCTGCATATGTGTTGTCAGTTTCAGCAAGGGACGGGCCAATGAGTGCTGTTGGCGAGTAGAGTTAACCGATCTCAAAAAGAAAGAACAAAAACGCCGTACACGTATCAGTACGGGACGCGCCAATGAGTGGGCGCACCCGTGCTGTTGGGCGAGTAGAATTAACCGATCTCCACGCATCGAAAACGAAGTCATACACGTATCAGTACGGGACGCGCCAATGAGTGGAAGCACCCGTGCTCATATGTGTTGTCAGTTTCAGCAAGGGACGCGCCAATGAGTGGAAGCACCCGCGCTGCGTACAAGTATCATCAGTGCGGGTCGCGCCAATGAGTGGAAGCACCCGTGCTGCATATGTGTTGTCAGTTTCAGCGAGGGACGCGCCAATGAGTGGAAGCACCCGCGCTGTTGGCAAGTGGAGTTCACCGTATCCAACGCATCGAAAAAAAAAAAAAAACACGTATCAGCACGGGACGCGCCAATGAGTGGAAGCACCCGTGCCGATGGCGAACCGGGGTTCACCGAATCCAAGAAAATATATATATAAAAAAAAAAAAAAGAGAAACCCATCGCTAGTGTTCCAAAGAGAGAAATATTCGGGATTGGTCGACGTCCGGTGACCGTAGCGTCAGCAGCAATAATCACTCCATTCAATCCACAGGCGTCGAGAATGAACTAACGCGAGCTCGCGATATAACAACGCGTCGTTCTGGGCCCGACGAAAACCCACGTCAGATAGTTTCGCCCGAAGATAGGATTTGTAGACCATTCTAACTGCAGATCCAGGCGCGCGATCGACTACGCCCACGATGAAGAGGAAAAGAAGTGTTCCCGCAACGCCGCCCTGACGCTCGCCCGCCGCCTGCCGCCGGTCCGCTGCTTATACGACTCCAACCGCGACCAGATGCCGACACGGGCCTCCACGCGGAGCGGCAGGGCAGCGGCTGGGCAAGCAGGGCGAGGTCGGGCGGCGACACCTTCGACACCACGCACGAGAGGTCTACCGCGCGATCGGTGGCGAGCTCGACGGCTCGCCCCTCGACGCGCAGCGGATCACGTACTCCCGCGAGGCGTCGAGCGGTATCCTCCTCGCGAGCGCCAGGGACAGGCACCCGCGGCGACCCCCCCGCTGATGAGACTGAGCTCGCTTCTCTCCGCGGGCTGGTGGACGGCCTGAGGGAGGAGCTGCAGCGGAAGCGCGATGAGGCTGCCGGTGATCGCCAGCAGCTTCAAGCAACGATCGACGACCTGATCGCCACCCAAGCAGCAGGACCTGGCCTTCCGGGGGGGGGTGCAACTTGTGGGCACAACCGCCCCACCATCGGCCTCTCGGGCCCCCGCTACACCCAGCGCCGAGGCGGGCTAAGGCTACGGCAAAGGATAGAGCGCGGATGTGGGGGGACCTCCGCCGGGTAAAAGCGTGGCTCATCCTGGGGCGGCCCCCGGCAGTTTCAAAACTGTCGCAGATGGAGTGGCAATCCTTGCTTCGCAAAGGCGTCCTGGTGACAGAGAAAGTGGCGGCATCGCTCGACACGCTCGTGGTTACTGCTTCGCCTTCAACTCGTCGTCCGGTTGCCATGATCGTAACTGCCCACACATCCACGCCCAGAACCCTTCCCACGCTAGGCGCGGAGCGTCCGAAACTCCGGCAACCGGCGCGCGCGGCGTTGGCCACGGCAACGGGGGAGGGCGCGGAGGAGAGGCGCGCGCCGCTGGCGAGGGCGGCGCGAGACCCAAGGCCGCTGGCTTCTTCACCCACGGGAAAGACAAATAGGGGTGCGGGCTCTCCCGCGTAGCGGGGGGGCCTACCTCGGATGGCAGCGCACCTGCGGCTAAATCGAACGGCAGCACGCCGGTCTACACGAGGTTGGCTCCAGGGCTATCAGCAGGTTCAGGACCTGGGACAGGCAGGACGGGACTTTGTTACCGACGTCTTGGCATGCAGCTCGTCGAGCACTCAGTTGCGTCTTCGTCTAGAAGGACTTACACGTCAGGCTTCAACTCTTGGTGCACGTTTCGCAGGCTGACGGAGAAGCCCAAGTTCCTAGGGCAACGTGCCGGGGACCTTCATGTGTGGGAGTTGATAGACTTCGTAGCCTGGTGTTTCGAGTCTGAGGGTAATCTAGCGAGTACAATATCCGGAAAACTCACGGCTGTACAACATTTTCATAGGCTGGAAGCTTCTGTCGAGCTAGACTTGTCGTCTCCGATGTTGAAATGTGCGCTAAGGGGGATTGCGAGGAACCACGTGGCTGTGGGGACGGTACGCCGTGTGCGCCTGCCTGTGTCTTGGCGTATGCTGCTGGACGGGGAAAGCGCAAGCCAGAACTGGGGGGAAGGGGGCAGAGTGATGTGGCTGTGTCTGTGCTTGTCCTATCTCTTTATCACACGGTCTGATGAGGTGTTCGCGAATGATGCGGGCAGGGTGCATGAGGCACACTGTCTTACGAGGGCGGACGTAGCATTGTTTGCTGGCGAGACGCAATTAGTCTTTAGTCACTATCGTAGAGCAGACCGTGTCGAAATGAGGTTTAGAGGGCACAAGGCCGATCAAGAGCAGAAAGGAAACATACGGGTTCGTACGCGAGACGAAGTCACCGGACCGCAGTCAGGTGTGAGAGCACGCGGTGGCGCGGTGGCTCTTGTGGTGGAGCTGTTATCGTGTCATGCGACGTTCCCTGACTCCGCACCGTTGGCTTCGTACCGTAGTGGAAGAGCAGTGAGAGTAGTGAGGTATACTGCTGCCCTCCGTGCACTCAGAGAAGTGGTAGCGAGGTCGGGGCGTAACCCCCAGGAGTACGCGTTGCAATCGTTGCGAATTGGAGGCGCGACGGCTCTTGCATCGGGCGGAGACATCGCAGAACGAGTGATTCAGAGAGAAGGGAAGTGGAGGTCGGATGCATACAAGCCGTACGCGCGAAACAATGTAGAGGATTCGCGGCGAGTGTCACGGAAACTTACAGACGGCAGTAGGATCGTATCGAGACAGCCGGGGGAGGGGACCGTCTGGGGGAACGGATAGTTGACTTATTCGGTAGTCGTCCAGAAACTGACCTCGATGTGGGTGTTGTAGAATGGTGTGTACCATTTGAGGACTTGGTCAGTTTTGGGACTCCTGCGTTTGCAGTCGTAGTCCCCCGGCTAGTATTTGTGGGGGAGAGAGATGGATTTGTAAGAGTTGACGCCGGCCTTTGCAGCTAACGCGGCCGGAGAGACGATGAGCGTTTCGTGCGTCTCTCTCCCCAACACGTAGCCTAGAAACCGAAGAAATAATGAAGCAATTCGAAAGAAAACAAAATAAAAGGAAGGTTTGTTCGTCGAAGCAGATAGAATAAACTGGTGTTTATTTTGTAACAGTCGAATTAGAATTTGGCTTCATTTTCTACCGGAAACCCAGGGTCACGGTGTTTGGAATTATTAGTCTATAGTTGGGGGTGTCATTCCGTGATCGAGTCCACGCAGGGGCTGTAGCAAAGTCGGGTAACGTGTGACAGCTACAGAGCGCGTGAAGCAACGGAAGGACAGCAGCAGCCGCCTAACGCAGTAGCGGCGGCAGTTTAGAAAATCCCGCCCTCCCATCCCTTTTCTTTCGAAGGTGGGGGCATAAGTTCGGGAATATTCGGTATCTAGTCAGGTGTTGTAGAATGGTGTGTACCATTTGAGGACTTGGTCAGTTTTGGGACTCCTGCGTTTGCAGTCGTAGTCCCCCGGCTAGTATTTGTGGGGAGAGAGATGGATTTGTAAGAGTTGACGCCGGCCTTTGCAGCTAACGCGGCCGGAGAGACGATGAGCGTTTCGTGCGTCTCTCTCCCCAACACGTAGCCTAGAAACCGAAGAAATAATGAAGCAATTCGAAAGAAAACAAAATAAATCTGAAACATTTACATTGTAGTACCTACGTACGTACGTGCACGTAGTCTACATACATACGGAGGATGTAGCGATGTTGTGTGTACACCAACCACCCTTCTTTATCTCTCTTGCCTGTGCCCCTTATCTCTCCCTGCCGTACGCCGCCCGGTTTACAACAGTCATATGCACGACGGTCTCTTCCTCCTGCGATGAGTGTGAGAGATGCATGAACATCCACCGTCTCTCAAAACCGTTGATGAAGCAAATCAGCACAACTCTCACTTTTTTTTTTGTTCCGCAACGGTATCAATACAGCTGTTGAATAGATCTCCAACAGATCTTTTCCCACACACCCTACCTACCGCACCTTCCTACCTCACCCCACGAACTCACACTTTCTCCTCCCACCTCTTCTCTCCCTCTCCCAACAAGAGTGTTCCTCGAGCTGTGATCCATCACCGAAACTCCTGCAATCAGCACCACCATCAACAGGTCTAGACCACAAGGGCCCAACATCATCACAGCAATGTCAAGGACAGCAGCAGCCGCAGCACTTCTCGCCGCCAGCGGATTCTTCGCCCAGCTGCCTGTCAGCGATGGTCACGTCTACATGATGAACCCGGTCTCGCGCCAGCTGTGGGGCACAGAAGCCTTCCAAGAACCGTGAGTTTGAGAATCAATGCTGTAGCTTGCGCGTGTACTTCAGCCCGCAGCCAGAAGTGACATGACGGGTTGCAGTGTGCAGTGTGTGTGATGACAGCTACTACTTTGCTACTGTACGACCTACAGAGTACGACTAGATTACACTGCTGTTGTGGAGATGCCAAAATTCAGGATCCACGGTGGCAGTAGCTTGTGGCGGTAGCTTGTGCCATGCACCTCTCTCTCCCCTCACCGTAACAATCCATAACATCTGTTGAGAGAGAGCACTCGGTGACGTTTAGGCACGTACAGCAGTAGTTTGGGCCACAACGCGAGTCGGCCAATGTGTGCACCTGGCTGCTCGTCGTGACGATTGGGGATGTATGTATGTGTGTACCAAAGATACTGAGGATCCGTCTACGGCTGCCAAGATACCACTTTTTTTCGGATCCTTTCGTCTCGCATAGAAACTTGAACGCGAAGAACCACAGGACGGAGTGGGCAGGGGGCCTCAGGGAGTGGAACCCTCCAGTGTGGCCACGGGTTGTTACAAACGGCAACAGGTGCTGAGCGCTGATTTGAAGTGAACAAAAAACACAAAATCAAATTCCCACAGCCCAACGACACACACACGCGGCTATGCCTGCTGCTCCTCCTACCCTCCATAGGGGATCGCCGGACATAAATTACTGCCCACACTGTTTCCAGAGCCGTGGGCCGGCCGCGATCCGCGCGCGTGGTGGCGACCAGCCGTGGCCCCACTTCAACGGGGAACGTGCTAAAAACGGGAACTACATCGAGAGTGACGAGGTGGCTCAGAGGCACGGGGTCTGCGGCGACCCCGAGCAGGTATTGCTGTGGCAGTGTAGACTACTGTTATGCGGTTGTTTGTTTTGGTCTGAACGTCATGCTGATAGCGGAGGAGTCCATCGACCGACGACGCGGTGGACGAAAATGGGGGAGGGCGGGGGAAAGGGGAAAGCCAGGAGGCGTCACAAAGATTTATATCTGACTGTTGTCGAGGTTATTGCGTTATTACCTATCAGACCGATGGTGGATCCAACTTATGGAGCAAATCATGAACCACCCGGTGGATCTCATCGAACGTCTCGGGATTTGTAATAACCGAGCAGCGTTGATCACCAATTTTCTATAGGCCACACCCTACTGTAGTGCATGTGTACTGCTGTACAGCACAGCATACATTAATGTTGCTTGCAAGCGAATCGGTTCCAATACCCGTGTGTCTTAATAGTTTATACCTCTGTTCGAATACCCATGAATATTATTTGCATCGTCGTCGGCCTGTCCAATATACCCATGGATCATGTACTACAAGGCGAAGTCTCCCGCCCGCGCACGAGAGGCCTCATCCAATCAGATCACTTTTCCATTCACTATTGCATGTACATACATGACCAGACATGGAGAAAGAGGAGTACTCATTTTTTCTTTTTTTGCAACCCGTGCGCGCCTTTCTCCGTTTCCTCTTGGTTTCAGACCGCGGCCGAAGGCTCCAACAAGTACGGGCAGGAGAACAGCAATTACCCCGTGCTGGAGACGTACGCCGAAGGAGGCATCCTCGAGGTCAAGATCGTCGTGTCGACCTACCACTGGGTGCGTCCAATCAATATACGAAAAAGAAGCATGTTGTGGGCATGCTCTAAACGAAGAGCCTTGTTCTACGCGTACTCTTCTCCCATCATCCTCGCAAATTTTATGCACGACTCAAGACATCACGATCATCTTGACTTCTGCCGGCAGATATTGTGAGGAAATAGAATGCCCTACGCCATATACCTTGAAGCGAAAACGTCCGCAATTTACTATGAAGTTGAACTTTTCGTCGAAAACCGGGCACCTTTCTCCTCTCTCCCCCAAGATCCCCGCACTGAACAACCTCGTTGTTCTCGTTTGACGCTTGCCAGCCTCTTCTTTTAGCGCGGACGAATAGTCTCTCCCCGTGTCTTCCAAATCCAACCTGTCTGTTACCAATCTTTCCATGCGCCTCTGACACACCTATTTTCCTGACAGGGCCATGTCGAGATGTTCCTCTGCGACGCCGACGACCTCCCGGACGGCCCCGACAGCGTCGTCACGCAGTCCTGCTTCAACGAGTACCCCCTGGACCGCGCGGAAGACGACGAGTTCAACGGCCCCATCGACCCCCTCAACAGGGGGCGCTTCATCCTCGACCCCCCCTGCCGCGCCAGCGAAACCGACCAGGAACTCCTGCCAGGCGCCTTCGCCGGCGACGTGGCCACCGCCCGGTTCCAGCTACCCCAGGGGGTGACTTGCGAGCGTTGCGTTGTCCAGATGGCCTACTGTGAGTCGTTGTTGTTGATGTTGAGACTTGGTTGTTGTTGTGGATTTCCACGTCGTGATCGTCGAAGCGCGTTGTTGGTGGCAGATGGTGCCAATCTATATTGTCCGGCGGCATCCAAGGCAGGGACGATGCCGCACAAACACCGTTTAGAGCACTGCACTGTTGTTGTTGTTGTGATGCCGGTATGCTACTGTGGAGCAAAACCTGTTATCTTGTTTCCGGAAGGATGAGTCTCATTTGCTTGCTGGGAACTATTTTGACGAACAACCCGATGAACAGGTCCATCTTAACCCGCGTTACGACGGCCCTCTGTTCATGCGCCAACACTATATAGTGGCGTTGTAGATCGGACCCGGGCGCTATCTTCTTCTGAGCGCTGTGCACGGTAGCTTCAGCACGGAAAATAACTAGACCCCGGCGCAGCAGCCTTTTTTCGAGTTGATTTTGGTTGTATTGTTTATTGTCCCGACACCTCCACTTACACAACGTGAGATGTCCGGCAAGGCTCACTCGCGCACCAGCATTATTTCACGCTTGAATCAGCAGAACCCCGCCCCGCACTTCTCGCCACATCGCAGACACCGGCAACTCGTGCAAGCACCAAGGTTACGCCGAGTTCAACCCTCCCTCGTGGCCAAGCTCGTGCGCCCCGTCCAAGGCCGACTGGATCAACGAGGCCGTCGGGCAGTGCGGCGACGGCGACGCTTACCCGGAGGAGTTCTGGAACTGCGCCGATGTCTCGATCACGTCCGGTAAGGCTCCTCATGACCCATGCCGACCTTCCATCCCACCACCAGTAGCGCTTCTTGGTGTAGGTAGAGGCACCTTGTTGTGGCATCCTGACAGCAGTCAGCATGGTTTGATCGTTGCCGCGAAAAGGGAATCAGTCGCGGTCCTCCCTCATTTACGTGAACTCTCTGATGTTGATTTCCCTCCCCCTTCCCCGCCGCCACCGTGGGTGAGCTTTTATAAGCCTTCCCTACGTGCTATCCTCAACCGATCTTCCTACTGCTATGCTCGCAGCAACAAGATCCTTCACCACTGAATGCAATCACGACATTCACACACACAAGACTCTGACGTCTGCAACCAATACCTACCACCGCCGCCGCGGCTGCCGCGGTTCTTTCCAATCGACGACCAGACGGGGGCCCCGGGCCCGCGCCCGCCCCCACCCCGGAGACCCCCCAAAAACCCGAGGCCCCCGTGGACGAAGCCACAGAGCCTTCCCCGGCGCCTACGGCCGTCGTCGAAGAGTACGAGCCCACGTACGCCCCGACTCCGGAAGAGGAGCACGAAGAGCCGATGACGCCGTCGCCCACGACAGCGGAACAAGAGGAGGAGGAGTACGAGGCGCGGACGCCGGCGCCCGCGACGGTCGATGATGACGACGAGGAAGAGGACACCGACGAGCCCACGCCCGCGCCCACCGCCGAGCTCGAGCCGGCCACGCCCATGGACTCTCCGACCGAGCCGATCGTGGCGACCTTCGCGCCGTCGGTGCCCCCCCCTGTCTCGACCGACCCCGACTGCGAGGACCCCGTCGGTGCGTTCGCCCAGTGCGGGGGGGCGGGGTACGACGGGTCCACCTGCTGCAGGGCCGGCTACGAGTGCGAGAAGATGGCCGACTGCTACTCTGAGGTACAACGTCGGCAGTTAGTTGGGTCGGTTGTTTTTCTTTGCTGTGTACGCGACTGACTGGCTGACCGAAAGTGTCGGCGTCGATTGATAGGTTGCTTTTATTCTGTGGGTGTAGTGGCACACGCCTTGAGGACGCCCCCCTCCTTTCAGTAACGCCTCTCCGCGAGAACGCCCCCCCCCCTCCCGGTGTGGTTCTCCAACGTGGATTATTCTTCCCCCACAATACTCGTTGCCCCCACTCCCCCTCTGTGGACGCGTCCGCGTCGGGGATGCCCCGCTCCGGTGATGAGAATGCCTCCTTTGAAACGCCCCCCTCCCTCCCTCCCTCCCTCCCTCCCTCCCTCCCTCCCTCCCTCCCTCCCTTCCGTTGAGTTCGCCAACTTTTGGATCCTTCGGCTGCGGTTAGGGTTAGCGTGTTCGTCTTACCCGGGATAGAGCGTTCGGCTTACCCAGCAAGAGAGTGTTCGTCAATCGCCACTATGTTTGTGTGCTCTTCTACCAACCATTGTGACTCGCCGTGGACTCTCTCCTCTTCGCCGTCCCAACAACTCCGCCCGCCTGCCTGTGTGTCGTGTGTGCTTTCTCGTGTCTTGCTTGCTTTCTTCGATCCGATTCCAGTGCCGCCCCCGCGGCGACCGCTGCTCCGAGGGCTGGGGGCAGTGCGGAGGGCTGCACCGGGAAGGCCCCGAGTGCTGCTGGCCCGGCGCCGAGTGCGTCGAGCGCAACGAGCAGTTCCACCAGTGCGTCCCCGAGGGAGCCATCCACTGAGCATGATGACAATGTGTTGTCTTGGCTGAGTGTTGTTTTTCGAAAGTTTGCGCGTTGGACTTCTATTTTAACACATGTGAAAAAATGAGGCCGGATGGTGTGATCTTGCGGTTCCTTGTTGTTGTTGTTGTTGTTGTTGTAGAGGTGCTGTAGCCGTTTTTGTAGCCGACCTTGTTATGACCATATGGTTGAGGTCGTCTACCACATGCTTTTACTCATAACATGGTACGGCTACGTCACCTGTGCACGTTTTTCTTGAGGGCGTCGTCGCCTTACGGCGATATCATCGTTGTGCATAAGACAAACATCAAGTTTTTGTAAGTTTCTGGAGCATATCGTTTTTCCCACACCCGCTCCACGTGGGGGAAACGTTGCTATCAATTTTTCGTTTCTGAAAGTTGGATGTTGCCGGAGAATCGTGTTACGTTACTCAGGAGAGGTTTCGGATGGAAAGAAGGCGCATGTTGTCATGAGTACAGCTGATGTCGACCTTAGTATCCCCGTAGAGGTTTTGGGTGGGTGGGTGGATCACATGGTTATTTGAGGGAAGTCGGCTGGAATTTTCTTGTGAATTAATGAAGTGATTTGCGGTGGGTATTCGTGGCCGTGTGGGATGGGGTGTAGGAGGAGGAGTGGAGGGTGTAGGTCCGATGAGCGGACGGCGTAGGTTCGATGAGTGGATGGTGTAGGTCGGGCGAGTCGGTTGATTTGGTTCAGGATTGTGAAGGCTCTTCATCACGATGCCGTCCTACAATGTCAAATCTGCTGGCTGTTGATTTTCATGGGGCTTATGGTTTGGGCTGTTGGGGGGGGGGGGGGCTTGATTTTTGCTTGGCACCGGATGGAGGAATAAAGTTTCATCCCCCTGTGCCCCTCATGTATTTACCTGCTGTCCAAAA